AGGAAGCCTATGGAGTTTTCTCTCGTAAGGTGAAAGACGGAAGTAACTTTTGCCAACTAATTGCTCTCGCTCTCCTCCTCTTTCCCATTCATGAACCTTCCTAAATTCACCCAACATGTTATCCCATTTTGTCCCTCCCGTTTTGGCATCTCTATTAACCCCATGTTTTTGGAGATACTCCGCCACTTCCCTATCTTTATCCGCCCTTGTTTTTCCACTTCCATTTCCACTTCCTCTTCCCCCTTGACCTCCCACAATACCAACATCATCCGCTCCACCGCCTGCACAAATGCCAATACAAATACCTTTAAATCAACAAACACATAATATACGAAAAGATTTGATGGGTTTGTTTGAAACATGTTTTATAACCGACCCATGTGTTGGATCTTAAGTGTAGTTCAAAAAGTTTGAAACTTTGGATGAAATGAGAGAATTTGTCGCAAAAAAAGGAGGCTAATGTAACGGTTGTTTTGTGGCACCTTGATATTGGATCCTCCAAGCCCTAGCTAACCACAACATCTCATTAGGTTTCCAAACTGGGCTAACATACTTCCCCTTTCTGTATTGTGCCTGATTTTGAGATTCCCCTTCTCCTTTACTCCCCGCTGGCTCCGGCTGGCCGGAGGCTGTCGACGGAAGAGGTGAATAAGATGGAGATGATGTTGTATCAGAAGAAGACGCGGCGGCGGCGACAGTGGCGGTGCCGGTCGGACGATGCGATGGGGATGGGCTAGAGTCGCTGCCCACGACGGGTATCGGCAGCTGAGAGGAGGACGGAGATGGCAAAAGCTTCCATTGGCCGGCGGTGAATCTGGTCCGCTTAGGGTTCACAGCCTCAAAGGGTGTTGTAGTTGCAGTTGCAGTGGGAAGATAGAGAGGTGTTGAGATGAAAGGAGAGGCAACAATGAGAGAGGAATCATGATGGGGGTGATGGCGGCGGTGGAGCTGGTGGTGGTGGTGATGTTGGCCGCCGCCGTGAGGCCTTGTTTCGAAAGAATCATCAAGTGGGTCTTTAGGAGAAGAGGAATCATAATCTTGTTGCCGAGGAGCCTCACCCTTTTCAGCCATAATAATACTAACAACAATAATAATAATAGAAAAAAGAATGGGCCCAAAGGAAAAAATGAAGTGTTTAGGGAAGAGAGCAAGAAAGAGCAACATAAAAAGGGGGGAATCAGTCCTTTAGTTGTGGGTTTGGTATATTAGGGCGAAGTGGTAGAAATGCATTATTAAAGTGGGGTGGGGTGTGGGAGGAGGGTGCACCAATAGGCATGCTAAGTAAAAGCATGTATGTAAGTAATAAGAAGGCAATGGCTAATAACTAAATCAAACCAAACACAAATGGAAACAAACAAGAAAGCAGTGGGGAAGTGGCATGGATGATAAGACGAGTCATGGGTGATAATAAAATTTAGGTGAGTATCTTTTAAGATGCAAGAGAGAGAAAAGGGAGTGATGATTATAGAGAGACAGAAACGCGGCTGTGAAAGGATGTAGAGAGAGGGTAAGTGTTTTGTTTTTTGTTTATGGGTTAAGAGTTGAAAGAGAGAAAGAGAGAGATGAGAAGCTAAGGTGAGGGAGTGAGTGGAGACTCAGAAACATATAGAGAGAGAGAAATGAGTGTTGTTTTGTTGGTATATTTTGGAAGGCTAAGTGAGATGTGGACTGTTCGAATCTATGACCTCTGCTCCATCCCTCTTTAGGACACGTCTTGCCATACAAACTCACTATCCAACACCTTCCCCCTCTCTCTCTCTCTCTCTCTCTCTCTCTCTCTCTCTTATATGTTTAAACCACAATTTATCATAGATTTTGATATTGGGTTAAATCCTATGTGTTGGCTATCCATTTGGGATAATGTTGGTACTCACATTAGTTTCGTATAGTTATTCCATAAGATCATTGAAACATGCATAAGCAACTTTTATGCCAAAAATATATATATATTTGTTTGACTTGATTGACCCATGAAACTTATGTCTATTAACGAACGTATACAATATAACTAATGGAGAAACATGAGTCAGTAAATAAAGAATATATGAATAAACTGAGACTTCATCTAAACGAGATCAATGTTAAAGATAAGGATAGAATCTTTGGGAAAGGTTTAAAAGAATCGAAGTTACTATATATATTAACATTGTCCACCTTCCTTTTCAGTAAATCAATTATAAAAAACTCTAAAATCAAACGTGTTTAGCTATGCAATTTAGAGAGAGGAAGATCGACTAGCCAACCAAAGTGGAGAACCTCCTTGAGATGGAGATCTCGTGTGACCACTTATAGGAATGTTATTCAATAGCGCACCAAATGCGTGCAATAAAGCAGCATGCTATGAAAGAAAGAGGAGCATACGCATCTTGATCAATTGGATCGTTTTAGAAACATTGTTAGTATGGACAAAACATGCTGAAAGAATCCATGTTGGTTAATAAAGATAAATTGTTCTTAAAAACGACAAGTATTAGAAATGCTTGGATATAGAACGTTATAAAAAGACGCATAGTCCAGCACAAAGTAAACTCGAGATGCCCAAAAGCTCAATGATCATGTGCAAATTGATTTTTGTATAGATGGACCATGTAGTTGCTATCACAAGGGAATTGAATGTAAGTTCACAACGCCCTTTTCACCACTTGTTAGTGCTATTCCAATGACATCTCAATTCATTTACATATAAGCAAGTTAAGAAAAAGAAAAGGCAGAACAAACTCAGAGATTTGAGTATGATGAATTCATGAGTTGATGGTATAAAGGTTTGGGTGGACACTATCATTAAGGTCTCTTTTGTCCAGTTTCCTAATGGACGTTATGCCTGCCTTCCAAACAATTCCTCTCGACATGTTGTTTTCAAAGCTTTAGGCCCACAAATCCATGTCCTTTCTTCCATTTCATTTTCTGGAAAAGGGGACACATGACTTCCTTGCAACACCACATACTCTTTACCTTTAAATCCTGCATACACATCATAGGGGCTGCTTCATAATCGTTATTCATCTTGAATGGTGTCTTCTCTTTTGCGATGTTTTTCACTCTGATATGCTGTTGAAGTACAATTATTAATGCATCTGGCCTAGAGAATGCATTATTTTGCCTACATATATTGAATTCTAATGCCTACATCTATACCCTTTTTTGGCCTTCTGGATAACATCATATAACCTTTATCTCAATAAGTGCACATAATTGTAGAGATTAATTATACTGTATTCTGACATTGTGTTCTGCTACGGTATACCCAATGGAGAATTATGTGTACTGTTCACATTATTCATGGCCTAACATAACATAAAATGTTATCCAAATTAACTGCACCACTTTAATTTATAACTGTAAAAATAGTTAACACTTTAATGCGCTTTAGCTGTCTTCTCCTGCATCCTCCCCACCATTTTATTTACTTTTACTCACCTTTTTAAGTTACTTTAATGTGTATTAATTTAAGTGATTATAGGGTAATGGACCCTACATTCCCATATTTGTAGCTAGAGGTCACACATCCGAGACTCGAATTTGTAATTGAGCGGTCCTTGAGGCAAGCCCACTCTTGGCTCAATCTCACTGACTCAACTGAACTGACATATTGCCAAATCGAACTAACTCGGTACACTACTCGTAAGAGCCCTAGATGCAACAAGAGGTATATATTCACAATATTCTCTCTTGCTACGCTTCCAGAACATCCTAGCTGACCTGAGTTTGTGCAAATCTAGTATATCACATTCATGAATTAACATAGTACAGTAGAATTATTTGTTTAGTGAACTAAAACTGAATCCACATTGACAAAATGGAGTCATGAGTTGAGAAGTGAATGTAAGCATGTCCAAGTTGGGATGTTCCAACGGGGAGGCCTACGGGCGCGTCGTGCAGGAAATAAGGGTTGACATGAAGTGTATGTGACACAGTTATGATGGAAGCTCAATGCTTCCAGCAGCACTAAATAGCACAACCCGACAAATAAATAACGTCAAAATCTCAAAAAGATCATAAAAATAAAAGGTAGGAAAATTGTGGCAGTCCCAGTACTAAACGTGAGCCTTGGAATTTGGTATATTGCTGCTTCTGGTGATTGCATAATGCACACCAATATGGGCATCTCTATTTCTTTATCCATTTCTCTATGAGCAAATAAAGCTGCCACCTTCAACATGGACCGTTCCTTCATATAAATGCCCTTCTCTCTTTAATCTCTCTCTCTCTTTCTCCCTTAAATTTCTCAAACCGTTACCTTGTGACAACTAAATGGGGGCATCTGAAAACCACAATGACCCACTTCTCACCCAACCCTACCCTCCAACTTTAGGCCTGCCACCCTAAACCCTTTTTCTTTTAATGGGATTGTGAACCAAACTTCCTTTTTTTTGCGTGGATTGGGCAACGCCAAGGTTTGTTTTGAACTCACAAAAAAAGGGCCTCTTTTCTTCATATTTTTCAATATATGCATGCCTTATTTGGGTTGGTATGTTTTGGCTTTGCTTTTTACACTACAAGAATTGTACTTCGAGGATATGGGAATTGGGAAACACCCCCATAACATGCTTTCCTTACGCTTACCCTTTGGCATTGCGTTGTTTCCCTTAAAAGAAAGGCATTTAAAGCCCCTTTCCGTTTTGACTCCTCTTTTCCCCCATGCCCTACAAAAGCCTAACCAAAATCCACTCTTTTTCCTTACTTTACTTTAATTTAAAGCCAACTTGCAGGTCTCGCATGCCCTAACTTTCCATAAGATTTTCATTTTGAGAAATTCTTTCATACTTCTTGCATAGCCTCTTGGAATTTCCTTACAAAAGTTGGATCAAAATCAAACATCTTTAGTTTATTGTCTATTTGAATTGGCATATTAATTGTTCAAATCCAAATGACAAGCTCTATATTATAATCATCCAACTGTCGACATAATTTAAGGGAGAAAATATGGAAATAATTAAATGGAGTGATGGGTGCATGAAAAGTACTCTTAATTATAACACCATCAATTTGTCCATAACAAAAGAAACAAAGTCTTCTTCTTCCTTTTTTTTTTTTTCATTTTTCCCATCTCCATTAATCAATTACATTGCTTATATATACAAATACAAAATATAATTCAAAAGGGCCAAGAATTGCAAACCCCAACTCAGAAAATTTCCCAAAGTAATTGAAAATGAATCTTGAAAGTTTCACCTCCACTCGGATTCATTCATGTCCCATCATCAGAATCCTGTTTTTCAAGCTCCTCATAATCTTTATGATTCTTATAAGTTTCTTCTTGATCTTGATCTTCATCTTGATCTTCATCTTGTTCTTCGTTATTTTTCACATCACCCATCTCTTTCTTCTTATTCCTCAAGCCGTCCTTAAGCCAAGCAACCACTTCTTTCATACTAGGCCGACTCTCAGCATTCCCATCGCTACATCTCAAGGCAATGCTCACAACACATTTCAACTCTTCAAGATTAAATTTTTGCTCCAATCTTGGATCGCCAATGTCATCAAAATCTTCCCTTTGAACATACGGAGTTACCCATTGAACAATATCTCGTTTTGTGCCATTTGGAAGCTTTTCCAATGGCTTTCTACCACTAACAATCTCCAGAAGTAAAATCCCAAAGCTGTACACATCGCAGCTTTCTGCAACCTTTCCCCACATCGCATATTCGGGAGCCAAATAGCCTAAGGTTCCTTTAACCCTTGTGGTTAAATGAGAGACCCCATCTGGTATGAGCTTTGCAAACCCAAAATCAGCAACTTTCGCTTCGAAATCCGAGTCCAAAAGAACATTACTTGCCTTTATATCTCTGTGTATTATGTGCGGTCTAGCCTCGTGATGCAAGTACCTTCATCATTACCAAACATTTGCAAAACTACACCAATTATCTTTTCAAATTTTTAATAACAAATGAGATAATATAATATAATATAACATCACATCATTTCCTCCTTGGGAGGAAGCAAAGCATCTTTCAAATAATATTCTCCCATTAATCTATTCTCTATGTTAAACTAACCCTTTAAATCTTAAATCAAATTAAGACTTTTGAGAATTTGAAAAGATATATTATTTTTTTTTAGATGGTTTCACTAATGTAGAGAATGATGGTCCGTTTATAAGTGAGTAATACATTTCCAATGACATGAGGTCTTTTGAGGAAGCTTAGAACAAACTAAGAGATTTTTATGCTCAAATTGTACATTATCATACAATTGTGGAGATCAAATTTACTTACGATAAGCCTTTGGCGGCTCCAATGGCTATGCTTACTCTTCGTTGCCAATCTAAAAGACATTGATCAGCTAATTGGCCATGCAAATGGGAAAGCAAGCTATGATTTGGCATGTAATCGTATACAATAAGCCTTTCATCTCCACCGGCATAGAATCCTCTCAAACCCAACAGATTTTCATGTCTAACCCTCGCAAGAATCTCCACTTCAACGGCAAACTCCATCTCTGCCTTTGCAGTCATTGCTTTCAATCTCTTCACAGCTATCTGCAAAACAACACCTTCATCAAGTCAATAAGAGAGCTAAATGTTATAATCTTGATAAGTTACCATAAGTTATAGTAGTAATTACACCAACGCCTTTGCTGGTTCTCCCCCAATAAACGCTCCCAAATCCTCCCTCGCCAATTTTGTTGTCGTTGCTGAAGTTATTTGTGGCTTGAAGAAGCTCCTTGAGCGTGTAGATTTCCCATGGATAATCTAGATTCTCTTTCACACTTGAATCAAAGAAAAGAAATCAAAGAAAAAGGAATAAGATTCTCAAACACATAAAACAAGAATTTGAGGTTCAATGGTCGATAAAGCATATACCTTTTCCTTGATTTTTGGTGGCCGCCAATGCAACTGAAGCAATTCCAAACCATTTTCACCACAAATGCAAGAAACTAAGCTGGCAGGGAAATGGGTTTTGTAAATAAAGAAAAGGGTTTCTGAGATTGCGAAGCAAAAAGGAGGAGTCTTTATGTTGAAGACAAAAGGGAGAGGCTGGGAAGTCAAGGGGGCATCATTAACAGACATATATGTTTATTTTAAGGTAGTTCCCATTGTTATGAATTTTAGTGTTTGTTTATTAGCTTTTGTCGAGCTGTAATTTTCATTGGAAATGTCAAATATTGTAGCCTATTTTTAAAATGCTATTAGGAACAATATTTTGGACATTATTCTGCTTCATAAAATACTAAAATAATTAGGAATAAATCAACGGTACATTAGTGGTGATGTTATCCCTTATTTTAATGTGGGGAGTGACACCATTCTTGCACTTGATAATGGAAATTCGTAACGTCTTCACAATTTGAAGTTCTTATATACACATTTCTTTATGATTTTATTATTGAATAATATTTATGTCCTATCCAACATTAGCTACTCAATTATTAGAAAAGGGGAAAAAAAAGTTAACTCAGCCAAAAAAAAAAAGGTTTGCCCAAGTCATCTAGAAGCTACGCGTAGTTCCAAGAAGAAAACGTTTCATTAAAAATAGTAGCAAATGGGAGTACAAAAGGATTTGATTCTGAATCTAGATTCAGTCCCTGATGTCCCGACATTCTCGATGCACATGACTAAGTTACTTCTTGTCCCTAAGAGTGAAGACTTTCTTCACAAACCGACGCAAGTACTTCTAGTATGTTTTATCTTTACTTACATGCATCTTAAGAAAGTTTTCAATGGGTCACCCGATATCAAATTGCTCTAAATAAAACATGCTTAACCATAACTTCCTATGATTGAACCACGGATAGAAATGTGCATCTTGTTGGTATGGATACGGACTTTCAATTTTGTATAGTTCTTAATCATGTTTTCTCGTTTTCTTTACATTTAATTTCTTTCATTTAAAGGTGGTATCGGATTATTCATGTACTCCCCGTGTTACCTTGGGCCAGGACCCCATCCACCAATATGGACTAAAATTTGGAAATACATCATGGGTAGCTAAAGTATTTTTCAACTTTGGAGTTGTTGCAAATATGATAAAGTATTGATAATCAATAAAGTATAGCAGTAATAATACTGGTTTTTTTAACACACAAGATCAGGTATAACCTGATAACAATGTCTGAAGAACATTAGAAAAGATAGTTGAATTTAAGATTTTCATAGCTGGTTCTCATTTCTTGTTGTCGCTTTTGAATAATGTAGCTTATTAAATAAAATAATAATAGATTATTAAATAAAACATATATGATCTGTTATGCGCCGAAAGCGGAACAAATGTACTCACAACACTAAATTTACTCAAGGCATACAATATTGCACACAAAACTTGATGATTTCAAAAGCAGAAAGAATGGCATTATATAGCCTTCTGCTAAACCTAAATATAAACTAACAAGACTTTCAAATATTAGCAAGACCTTGAGAATAGGTCTTGGTCCTAGAGAATAGGCCTTATGACAGTGCTTAACATGATCCACTAAAACATGCGACCTTACAAGACAAATGAGGGTTGTAACACTTCACAAAACCTTCTTTCACTCAAACAAATAAATGAAAAGAAGAGAAAGGATTAAGCACCAAATGACACAGAAGTGCAAACTTGATGCAGTTTTTGTTGCAGTTCATGCACATCAATCCTCTTTGGATCATCTACCTGAAAAACAAAAGCAATCAACATAACAAAATCAACCTCTAAACATTAGAAAGAAAGAAAAAAGTGAGGCCAATCATGCAAACCTTTGTGTGAATGGTGTGCAGCATCCTTTCCTTCACTTTGGTGGATGCACAACTCATAATTTCAATACTTTCTTCAACCAAAACCCTCATCACTTCTGAAAGTTCCAAATTTTGCTCTCTAAAGATGCTTATCATAATCTCCAACCCACCTGAATATGGCTTAATCACAACGCAACTTGACGGACAAAGATCCGAACTTTCATCCAAATGCAGCCCCTTTATTGCATCTCTTTTCACTTGAAGCTCGCTGATCTTTCCTCTTAAGTGTTCAATATAATTCACAGCCTCATCCACAATATCAGCCCTCGTACGCCTACCCTATAATCCCCTCCTCATAATAATTACATGTTATTTGGTAACGATCCAAATTGAAATATGTCGAAACAAACGAAAAAAAGTAAAAAAGAAAACTTGAGTGGAGAGAACTAAATATAGGAACCTTAAGCACTTATGTTTATTAATTCTCTTTCTGGTTAAGTAAATAACGTACATCTAATGAATATTTACGAAAGCACAATTGATCTCCTAGACTTTCTAAGTAACAACTTTTAACAATTCAATCTCAAAACTAACCATTTTTTCGGAGTCAAAAACTTCAAAACAATTATTTTAAAATTCTATTAAGTCAAGTTTATTAACTCAAGCATGAGTCAGCAAAAAGACAAGATAATTTTAAAACAAAAGATGGAATCTTTTTAACAGTGTTTACCTCTACGAGTGGAAGAGGAAGCAAAGATCGAAGGTCGGTAAAAAGGGAGCCCATTTGTTTCCTTCGTTCTCGTTCGAGATCTCTGTGCACAATCTGCCTCACTTCATTATGAGTGGATTCAATTTTGTTGGCATTAAGTTCACTGCTTCCCTCACAGCCTGAAAGTTGATGGGGTTGATGATGGTGTGAGGGATCATTGAAAGGAAACATTTTTGGAGGATGGGGTGTTGAAAGGATAGCATAATAGATATTAAACTATGGTTTTTATTGATTGATTTGGATTCAAGCGGTAGTGTAAAACGTGGACTCAAAACAAGCCTCAAAGCTTCTCTTTTTGACGATCGGATTTCACATCGGGTAGATCCCCACCTGCCGCCATGGTGTTCAAAATTGGCCATGATTGAACAACCAACATTAAGGAATGAAATTGATATCAAATTTGTTAACACATTACTTGAAAATTAACCATTGAACACAATACATAAATAAATTATGGACTAATGCAATATAAACAGTGGGAAAGCAAAGATCTGAAAAATGCAAAATTGTATTTTGTTCATGGGTTGACAAGTTGGACTTCTGCTCTTTCCACAACAATTGTGGAAATTTGGAATGTTTTTCTCAAGAATTAATTTTGAGATCTTAGCAAAATAAGGACGGTGGCCGATCCACACTCTAACAGTAAGTTGAGGTGAATTACATGCACGTGTTAAAAGTGTTAGGAATGAGTTTGAATTCAACACCATTTGGTTGGGTGATTCGTCATGGTATCGAAGTCGTTCGATGGTCTTATTTTAAGCCTTTATAATGTCATTTTTCTTAAGTATATCGTGTGCTACAATGTGAATGTAAAGAACCGACTTCTAAGACATAAAAAGTCATCTCTTTATATATGCTACAGCCAAAACCTATCGTTAACAGATATTATCTGTTTTACTTCATTATGTATCGTAATCAGCCTCACAATTTTAAAACGAGTCTATTATGGAAAGGATCTAACCTTACTCCGACCAATGTCTCGCACCGTACGGTAACTAACTCTGAATGAAGTAGTGCTAAGCCCTCTCCATAGTTGAGTTTTAAAACGGTGAGATTTGTGACAATACATAACAAACTAAAACAGATAATATGTGTTAACGATGGACTTGAGCTGTTACAAATGACATTAAAGTCAGACACTGAGCAGTGTACCAGCGAGGACACTGGGCTTCAAGGGAATAGAATGTGAGATCCCACATCGATTAGAAGAAGAACAAAACATGTCTACAAAAATGTGGTCCTTGTAACGATGATACATGCCATCACGACCCATAATTAAATTTTATTCTCACATAAAATAAAAATTCATGATTAAGGAATGTAATAAAAGTCTAGCCCCATAATTAAAAATGATCAAAAGAAGAAGTATGTTGGTTCAATTTAAGCGTGTTGAAAAAAGAAGTGTAAGAATGTAAAGGCAAAGTTCATTCATTGGAAGACTTGCTTGTAAGAATGTGAGTTATTAAAATTCTCTGCCGACGAGTTTACTTCTTTTACCAAATAATCTGGACCATCCAAAATGCTATCCAGTCATACAACAGCCCGAGAAACAGGGAAGAAAGGACGAGGTAGAGTGAAATCTGTGTCTGTTTCATGCTCTCCGCACCAGGTGGTCATTACCAGATCCAATACCCATAATTGTGCTGAATCTTTGACCATTTGTTCATCCAAATGCTTCTTAGACTTGGGAAACTAGAGGGTTTAATCCGTAATGATAGTGAATGATGGAAGAGCTGACCAAGGGAAAAAAGATGGATACTTTTGCATTAAACTATCAGTTATGTATCGTCATTACCCTCCCCGTTTGAACAATAGTAAGAGATTTTCGTACTCTTATAAAGAATGTTTCGGTCCGGATGTGTACTATCATTTCCGTTCAACAAAAGCCAAAGGCATGCCTAGTTGTAAAAATCAATGAGAAAACATAGCTTCCTTGAAGCAATTAGAATCTGTCATGCACTTTATTAAACTCTGTGTTAGAAGATCAGCAAAACAGAGGAACCATATCTTCTATTTGTTGAAAGTAATAATAACTAATAATAGAATAGAATTTGAATTGGTTTCAAATTCAAATTCATCCACAAAAATCTCAACCGACTACAGAATCACCCTAGAAAATCTCAACCCACTCTGGAATCCCCTATAAAAGGACCTCCCTCCCCATCATTCAAATCACTCCTCCTCTCAATCTCAATTCAGTTTTCTGTTGTCACCAACAACTGGTATCAGAGCTGAGTTGACTGTTCGACGCCCGGGGAAGGCCCCCGAAGGAGCCGTTCCCAGTCCGTCCCCCGGCCGGCACGCAGCGACCAGCTCTCGTCGCGGGAGTAGCTCGAGCAGTCCACCAACAGCCGACGGGTTCGGGACTGGGACCCCCGTGCCCAGCCCTCAGAGCCAATCCGCCATCCTGAGGTTCGACGGTCACTATGATCATTGGGCGATGTTGATGGAAAATTTTCTCAGATCAAAGGAGTTCTTTGATATTGTGGAAACAGGTTATGAAGAGCCAAAGAAGAGGCAGAGGTCGTGAGAGAGGCAGTCGAGAAAGAAGTGGAGATGTTGGCAGGTCAGCAGACCTAGTCAGAAACGATTATAACAACAATTCTTCTCAACTTTAGATGAAAATTTTCATACTACAGTCTCTCTTGGCAACAATTCATCTCTCCAAGTGATGGGGAAAGGAAC